TTTGTGACATTGTTGAGAGGGTCTAATAGCGCGCTTATGGATTTGACGGAGCGTTCGTAAACCCCGTTCAAAACCGCGTAAATCCTGCGTAACCTTGACAAGGAGTCAGAGTACTTTCGTTAACCTGGCCGTATTTGAAGTGAATTAGATCTCTTTGGCTTATTTCATTTTGATAAGCTGGGTCTTTTAAGTCCTAATAACCTGTACAAAATAATTCACTAATGAAGCGGAGGTCCATTCATTAATGAAATCATTAGGAAAATAAAAAAGGTTGTTTTAAAAACATCCAGAAACAGCGCAACCGAGAAATTATGGCCTTAGGGCAATTGCTTTGCAGACGCCGAGCTTCTCATGCGCTGCACCCAATTAGAATGGTTATGTAGTAACTTGCCTTCATTAGAGGAAGCAAATTTTAGTTTCGAATTCATTTGTATTTTATCTTGTGTTTTATTTTATCTTGGGTTATTTTTTTCTCTTAGTCTATTTTTTGTTTGTCTCGTCCTAGACAAGAGAAAATAATGTCCCATTGTTCTCTGTTGCTTCTCGCCAAGGGTTCTTGCTGCATCATATAAAAAAAGTATAAGTAAAAACCATTCTATATGGCCAACTCTTGCATCTTTTTTCAGTCAAATGGCTGATGAATTTTTTCTTGTTTCAGTTTTATTACTATTCTTTGAAAAAGGACAATGCGATTCAAGTAAGTTTCAACCCTAACTGTTTCGGTATTAGTTTTATTACTATTCATTCAAAAAGGACAATGCAGTTCAAGTAAGTTTTAACCCTAACTGTTTGGGTATAAAATACAAGTTCATTTTAAATGTATTCAGTTTATAATATACTTGTTGTTGAGTCCAATATCAACTGTTCCTCAACTCCGCGAACATTTTCAATTCAATTTAAGTTCAAGCATGTACAACGCGATGTCACACTATACTAAACAAGGCCTTCAGCAATTGATAAATTTCAAGGCTTAAGCTATTCCATTTGAAGAGCGGAATCACCTGCATATGTACTCTCTCACCGACATTTAGATTTGAAAATCATGTCTAGAATTCTATGGGTACTGGGCATACAATGCACATGTTCACGTTTTCATCTGTGCACCTACATATTTAAACAGTAATTGAAGCTGCATCTACTTTGCTTAACAGACTTAGGAACAATAGTAGAACAATCGAGTTATTCAGATTGAAATGTATCAGTGATAAAAATAACATACCTCTTGGGGAAGTTAGCAACTTGCCACCCTACTTCGAGTGACTCCTTCGTATCAGGATAATCTCCCATGGGTGCCCTCAATTTGGGTGAGGTATGAAGTCCACATTAAACTTACTCTTTGTCTTCACAACAGTTTGTCCTAATGGCATGACGAACATCACAGCTTTCAGTGGTGAGCTTGTATATCCTGAGTCAGGTACTTATGGTAAGAATGAGACTAAATGTTGGAGCATTACGGTTCCTGACACTTATTATGGCATTCGATATCATTTTTCCAGGTAAGTTTTCCATGTCAGTAACATGAAAACTTTGAGGCTCACATTTCATTTCCATTTCATTTGATGCTGCCGTCAATCATCATGTTAATGGACATCTAAAAGCAGAGACAAGCAAAATCACAAAGTCATTTCATAACAACTTAGAAAATAACCTTTAAACTCTCTTAAATATGGTACTAGTTCCTGAGAAGATTTAAACACGATTGCCGGCGGGATTAAGCGAATTTTTTAGATGGTGTATCTCCAACCTCGTAGCTCGCATCCTTTTAAAAAGAGCGAAAGCAGTGTCAACCATCTTGACGAAAGAATATTTGAAAAATACAGGAGCCACGCCCTTCTGCATGGTCAGCGTGGGTTTTCTTTCCTTTCCGATTACGATACCAAATCAGAAAAAGAGGACGAGAGTAAAAAAATATTTGGTGGATAAAACTGCAAATGATTGATGTGTAACGCTTCAAGTAAACGGCACAATTAACGGATTGCCTTTCGTATTTTATTTTGATGTTATAATAATGACTGATAATTGTGTTGATGATCATTAAAACAATTGTTAATCGTCAAAACAATTGTAATTATCTTTATTACACTCATTTGGAAATCATTGGAGATCCTTGCAAACTGCTTGCCTCTTATTAATGCGATTAAATCACGAATTGCATCCTTTTTGTACAAGTAATCACATGATTTCGAGTGCAATTTGGAATAAATAAGCACGAGTAAATTATTTCAAAGACTAAGAAAATTGCACGAGCCCGTAGGGTGAGTGCAATTTGTAGTCTTTTAAAAAAATTACAAGTGCTTATTTATTCCAAATTGCACGAGAAAAATTATGTGATTGCGTAACATAAAATACATGAAAAAATACGAGATGGCTTATCATAATTATGCAGTAGCAAGGCGTGCGCATCAAGTGCAAAAATTAATTTACTCAAACCCTGCAAGTGACATTGTGTGTTTGGTCAAAATAACCGCGCACGATCAAAACAATAATATACAATGATAATTAACATCTTTAAGGCGCAAAAAAATTTAAAGTCCGGCCTAATAACTCTAGGAATTGTTCAGTCTGGTTTGTTACTTCTTTGCACTGAATTAACCCTCTTCTGCATCGAATTACTTGAAAGCTGCACTTATCTTAACTAATCAGAACAGAGTAATTTTTTCATGTATCTTATTATGCTCTTAATCACATCCTTTTCTCAGTCAACGAGAAAGCTTTACTAAATCACAACAACCAATAAGGTTTCAATGCTTCTTTAAAGTAACCAATCAAATTTTAGGAAAATGAAAGACAACTTTTGCAACTTTTCACAAACCAGCTCAGTACTGGATCAATAAGATATTTGTGCAGAATAACTGAAAAATCCAGTATTTGAGCGACTGAATTTTGCGCTTTCACTGAAAATGAATGTAATAAAGTGGTAATTGAACTCTGTGTCGTACTATTTTGGTCTGAAATCATACTCGTGACTTCAAATGAAACTCGCGCTGCGCACCCGTTCGATGTTGAAATCATTCATATGATTTCAGACCAAATTGCACTTTATTCACTTCAATTATATTAGTAATCAATCAATTCTGTAACGAGACTTTTAAGGCCCAACATGGTTGGAAAAAGAATAAAAACATTGTAAATGTATTCAAAGTAATTTATCTTCTCCAGTAGATCAATCTTAACTTTGCCCTTAAGGTTGGTAAAAAGTGGAAACAAGTTATATTGGTTTCTGATATTTTTCCCAGGATTGACGTAGAAATGTGCTCTGATTGTAAGTGCGACTATCTTCAGAGAGGAACTACCTACAGGCATATTCACTGGTATTCTAAATTATGTGGACGATATAATTACAACTATTTACAGGGATATCTCTTCAACGTCGACTGGAGAACTGACTTTACCGGCTCTTTTAGAGAATCGACGGCCTATCTTCGCTTCGTGTCGGATGATACTGTACACTACACAGGATTTAAGTTGACCTTCATGGCCATGTCCAGGACAGGTGGGTAATAACTATATAATATAAAGATGGTCTTAATGGGGTAATGGCTTTTATGGCCAACGGTTAAAATTTTAACAGCCATGGAGTCTTAGCCCAATGGCTGAGGTGTAACAGGGCACAAGCCTGACTACCAATCCTGCAAAATAGAGTGTCATCAAGATGAGTAAGACAAGCCCTTTCCAGTTTCAGAGAAAACTCCAGTCACCCACTAGCTAGCTTAGCTGTGACAGGGTATGAACCTGACGATAAATGTTGCTATACACCGGTATTGTTTTTCAAATCAAAGCGAAAATATTCTCTTGATAACCTTTATTGAGTTTTGGTTATTTTTTCATGTGGTAACAGACTACTTTCATTTTTCAGAAGGTGACATATGCTCAATCTTTAATTCCTTCAGTCACATCAAACCTTTCTTTGTTTACTCGATGAGTTGAAGATCCCTAAAGCCGACCGCAAGTGGTCATTTACCACTTTCGCACGACATTTACGCCCTAAATCTCCGCGCGATTCGCTCCTCTACCATATGCATTGTAATGGTACTATTAAATCTTCATCCACTTTATTACTAGCAAGTTTTGATAGCTAAGTTAGTCGGGCAAGTAAATTAACATGAAATGGAGCGAGTCTTCATTGCGATCGAGGGCGTGTTAAATGAGGTGAATTTTCTTGAAATTCCTATCTAAGTATATTGCAGTAAAATAAACTTACTAATGTAGAGTTTTTTTCTGGTTTCTTTGTTTTAATCAAATATGTAACCTTCATTGATTTCGTTTTATTCTTTATGTAGTAACAGACTTATTTCATTTTCCAGCGGGTGACAAAAACTATCTGAATGCAACCGAAGATGAAACTATTGAGTTTGGCACACCAAAGGTCGACGTTGAGAACTACCCCTCAGATTACGCAGAACAGTGGTTTTTAATCGTACCTGAGGGACGGAAGGTCCAGATAGACTTCGACATATTTGAACTGGAAGACAGCACGAATTGCAAAAACGATTATGTTGAGTTCCGTGAGGCATCCATCATGGTTGGTGATCCTGAAGTTATAAATGGCTATTTTGGTCCAATCCTGACCAATCGCCTTTGTGGAAATGCAAAGCCAAACTCGATACTGAGTCAGGGGAACATGGTTTGGGTTCAGTTCATGAGTGACAAAAACTCTACTACTGTAAACAAGGGATTCAAAGCGTCTTTTAAAGCAGGTGTGTCTGAAAGATGAGTTTTGTTAAGTTTGTTTAGTTATGCGGCACGTAAGTTCTTTCACATCTTTTCCTTTGGAAAGTAGAGCTCATTCAACCCTTGGTAAATAATCCCAGTGTTTTATGACTTGACATGATCGCCGCAGGACAATGTTTGAATTTTTTCTGTTTGTTTGTTTTGAATTTTGTTTTTGTTTTGTTTTTTAGAGACAGCAAATGTTTTCCCTCTAACTAGTCAACTAACCATGAAAATAAATGATTTGTATGTTGTCCTTAAATCTATTCTCTATCTTTCTCACTTTTCAGGACAGGGAAGATTGCCTGTAAGCCGTCCAATGATGCTTCTTTTTCTCTCAGCTTTGATAATGTATGTGTCAAAGAACAACTTGTTCTAGTCCTGTCAAGTGGGAATCTTTCTTTTAGGTCATTTTTAGCTCTTAGCGGATCGAATTTATCTGTACGTTGTGGTTTCTTTTTTTTGTGTTAAAAAGTTTTTCAGATCAGTTTTGGAGCTGAGTCGATTTCATTTGTATGCATAATTTTTGTACAAGATAAACGAAATTTAATTGGTGTGAAAGCTCTTAGACTTGAAAAGGCTTGAAAAACATTATTTGAATCTTTGAAGTAACTAAGTATATATGCGTAATTAGCTAAGAGTGAGGACAAGGTGGCAGGACATTGTCACAGTTTTTTTTCTTTTTTTGCATTTTTATGACTGGGACGGAGTCAAGGTGCATGAAAAGGCAAAAACGGGGCTAAAAAAACGGCTAAACAAAACAAAACGGGCATAACGCCCAGCCATCTTGACCCAACAAGCTAGGTAAATCGAGGATTTATCATATAACAAACATGTATCGCTTTAATAAGAATCAAGAGTGACATATTGCTTTGTGTTCTAATTTTGATATTTTCGGGTTTTATAGCACAATAAAAGGTTCATGAAACTCGCTCATCTTCTCTTTGTTCTGACAATCATCTGCCGCTTTGGAAGACTCCATTGCTGACCTTGTCATAAAATCACAAACATGGTAAATTCTTGAAGCAATTTTTTCTTGCGCAGGCAATCCCGATTGGGAAAGATGGGTAGATCATACTCGCTCGGTTAGTTAGAAAAAAGAATTGGCTTCCTCTTTCCCACGAGCACTGCTGGCAAGAGCGCGTGCACCCTATCCCCTCCCCTCATCCCCCCCCCCATCATCTCACTTAAAAAGAAAAAAATGAAAGTTTTAAAAATATAATATTTTTGGTAGTTTTCGAATAATGTGCACCCTTATTTTGTATGCAAGTAATATTTTTTAGCGGGATTGCCCAAAAATCAAAGTATTCGAACAACTATTTGGAACTTCCCTCGAATTTTCTCCTTGAATCACTGCTTCGAAAAGTACAAAAATATGAATGAAAAGCTATTTATCGCCAAGGGGGTGGGGGTACCGGGGAGGGAGTACGAGTGTAGGGTTTCCCTCTTGTATTTCTGAATCTGTGCATTCGAGTCCATTTGTATCCAGTTCCCTCATGATATCCAACTGCATATGGAATTTTGCTGTATGCTGAAGAATTCTTCCAATAAGCTCTACACTGGAACAGTTGCGTGAGTAATAACTGAACAAACAACTAACAAGGAAACAAACAAAAGGCTATCGATCCAATAAGAAAATAGGCAAAAACACAAAATATTGCGATATTGAGATAGTGACAGAAAAGGTTTTGGGGTAAATTTGCTGGAAAGCTACTGTTAAACTAAAAAATGTCATTTCGGATGATACTTTTACAAAGTCCGATCGCGAAAATGCTGGGAAAAAAAATGGCAACTGTCTGAAAAAGTTAAATCACATAAGAAAACTTTCTTTGTCTATTTGTACTAATTTAGCGAGGATAGTCTATCACCAGCCCTTGACTATGTTTATTAGAACCTGGTTTTTACTATCTTGCGTCCAAACATTGAAAAGGGATCATTAGCAAACTTACTCCCGACCATTTGCTAAACATTGCAACTATAGAGCAGACGGAGCTACATGAACTAAAGCAAGATGAGAGGAGAGCAATCGGGAAAAACCTAACAGCCCGAGGTCATAGCCTATTTAGCCGATTTGACCCAGCAAAACTAGAATTAGCAACGAAGTTGAGGCTTAATACTTCAAGTTAACGGAAGGGTACAATGAAACGAGACATTTTTCTTCCGCTTTTTTTTTCCGTTTTGTTTTGTTTTTGTTATTGTTGCTTTTCCCATTGGAAGAGGCTAGAAGGGAACGTACAATTTTCCTGTCGGATAATTCGCTCCGTTTTCATTCAGTTCACATGGAAAATTTACTATCAGCCTCAACTAGATGAACTCGACCCAGTCACAAATATGCTCAATCTATAATCCCTCCAGCCACATCAAACCTTTTTTGATTATTCCATGAGTTGAAGAACCCGAAAGCCACCCGCAAGTGGTCATTTGCCATGTTCGCGCAACAATTGCGCCCCTAATCTCTGGACGATTCGCCCCTCTACCATATGCATTTTAATGGTACTATAAAAACTTCATCCACATTTCTACTAGCAAGTTTTGATAGCTAAGTTGGTCAGGCAAGTAAATAAACACGAGCGAGTTTTCATTGAGATTGAGGGCGTGTTGAATGGGGTGAATTATCTAAGATTCCGTTCTAAGTATATTGTGGTAAAATAAACTTACTAATATACAGGTTTATTGTAATATCTTTGTTTTTGTCAAATATACATCCTTTATTGATTTCGTTTATTCTTTAAGCAGAATTATTTTATTTTGGAGCGGGTGAAGCAAACTATCTACCTGCATGCTAAGTATGTACCTTCGCGATGTTTACACTTTATAAAATCATTCTCTACCTTCAATTTCTTACTTTGGGTCGATAATTAACAGGATGCACACGTGCACTTCGATTCTGTAAAAGGTAAAAGTGCGAGTGAAAACTGAGTGTGGATATGCCACGGAGACCTCCAAAGAAAGTCCCCCACCCACCCAGCCCATCTCAACTGGGAAGCATTGAATGCTGAAAAAGCCCAAATTTTAAAACTAAACAAAAAAAAAGAGTGCACAGAGAAACTGGAATTTACCTTTTACTTTGATGTGAACTAGTCAAGCATAAACTACAGTTCGTCTCGAGGTTGTACATAACCTCTTGGATTTTACATATAGACCTTTTACACAGATTTTCCAAAAGGTTTTTGAGTGATTTATTACAGCTATTTTCCTCTAGTTTATACCGGAAACATTTGGCCGTGTTCATAACATTTTTATTCTGGTTCAGAGAGCTAAGAAAAATAATGTACTCATATGAAAACTTTGTTTTTTCTCTTGTCTTTGAAATAACAAAAAATCCGTGCCGAAGAAGTTTAAGTAGCATCTAAAATTGGATAAGGATATTATTATTAAATAAGATACATAAAATGTAGTGTGTCTTCCGAAACTTCCATATTTCTTATGCGATCAGTGGGCCCGTGTGCGTGTAACTGCCTATGTTTTTACGTGGTTGTTACTTTGTTGTGGTTTTATTATTTTTTTTCACAAAATTTATGTGCTGAAATACAGTACTATAACCTCAGCAGATATTAGGGTACTCTTAGGTGACCAGGACGTCAAAGGAGTGATGTCTAAATTAAGCGCTTAACTCTGAAACAAAATAATTTTATATTCTTCACGTTCTGTGTTCTTCAGTAAACATCTTCTTGTGGAAGGTATGAGAGCGAGAATAAATTACAGTTTATGACGTCAGGAGTTTGGTGGATTCTTCATAATGACGAAGGGCATGCCCGTCCAAAAAGTAAAAAATAAAAGACTCGTCTAGATGATTTGCATTTATTAATAAAACCGTGAGTTTTGCACAGCACTTTCACACGTGACTTTATCGGAAAATTTTCAACAGCGTTACTTTTAAACGACTAAAACGTCAATTTTTAACACGCAATACTAATCAGTCTGGTTATCTGGTTGTTGGCGTCGAGCATTTGGAGGCATCATGCGGTTCCGCCACCGTCATTCTCCTCGAGCGCGCACACGCACCAAAGAAGACGTCAGCTATCTAGCCTGGAACTGACAGAACACTTAAAAAGAAACTCTCCGATTTTTTAAGTTGTTGGTATTACGTGTAATACAGATCAACCTTGTACATTCAAGTATAAATTCACGTTAAAAAAACTAAGTAATTTTTATGAAATTGTGCTAGGGAACTGAAAGCGATGTAAAATTCTGAAATCCTGCTTGGTACTCAGTTAATGAAATTACAACACGCTGTTCTTTGATGCGACCACAAGCAAAGCGGAGAGGAAGAGCAGAGTAAGCGGGCTGGAAACAAATAATCTTCCTTGGCCTGTAAAAGTCAAGACAATGAGAAAAAGTCAGAGTGTAATTCTTTTAACACTTTCTAAGGTGAGTCATTTCTGCTCCTGAAGTTCCTGCTCAACACGTCATTAGAGAGTTTCAGATTTATGTTCGGTGTGTTAACCGTAAACGTCAAACCGTGGTTAGTTGTTAGAGGTTAGAATTTAGAAGTTTCAAAACCGCTGGAGTTTGGTCACGTGACTCCTAACGGTTTGCGGTACGTTACACGTACTGATTCAGTAAAAAACATACTTCTAAAACTCTCTATTGCAATTATTTGACGCTGAGGAAATGAAGCAAGTCGATTCAAGCGATGAAAACACGGTTTGCATCCTTCTCTAGCTCACTTCCTATTTAAAAAAAGCTGGGAGAATCTAGAAATAGCCGAGTTGGTGACGGAAACCTCTCTCACCTGGAAAACTTTTGCGGTGTCTATTCGAATTCATTCCTCTGGAAAACATACAAGCCATAAACGTAACATTTAGGATTGATATGGCTCGGAAAGGACTTCCCGCCTTCAGAATCAACCCTAAATGGGGTCGGAGGAGAGGGAAGGGGGAAGGGGTGGGGGAATTCATTGTCTAAGTTTGATCATGTCTTTGAGAGGTCAGCAGAGGCTGATATGTGACGTTGAGAAACATCCCTTTTGCAGCCGCGAGAAGCGAGAATGTACCACAGCGACACTTTAAGAGGAGAGCCCTCTTGCAGGCTAACTCCAAAAAGCATCGCAAGCAGTCCCGAGAGAAGTCCCGTCGCCACGAGAGGTTTTTATACTTCACCTGCTTTAAAGGTTGCTTTGAATCCCTTGTACACTGTGGTAGAGTTGCTGTTACTCTTGAACTGAACCCAAACGATGTTCCCTTGACTCTGTATCGAACTCGGTTTTGTACTTCCACACAGGCGGTTGGTCAGAATTGGACCGTACTCACCAGATATTGATTTAGGATCACCAAGCACAACGTATGCATCACGGAACTCAACATAGTCATTTTGGCAGTCCGCGCTGTCCTCCAGATTGAACGAGACAAAGTCTATCTGGACCTGCCTTCCTTCAGGAACAATTAAAAACCATTGTTCTTTGTAATTTGAAGGGTAATCATCGGCGCCAGCCTTTGGTGTGCCAAACGTAATAGTTTCGTCTTCGGTGGCATTCAGATAGTTTACGTCTCCCTCTGCAAAGTAGATTTAGTTTTTTATTATCAAATTATCCTGTTATTCTTCCCCACCGACGCAGCACAACAGTTTGTTTAGAAACTTACCTCCTTTATTTAGTAGCTTTTTACAGTTTGAAAGTTAGAAAAAATGAAGAAATGCTTGTTTTGGTTTTTTTATCTTCATTTGAGAAAGTAGTGAGAATTCAAAAAGCTGCATTACTAATGAAGATAGTTGTGAACTCACTATCTTTCTGAATTTGCTGCAATTTCTAAGGGAATGAACCTTGATTAGTTTCGTTTGGTTTCTCTCGTCATTTTATGAACCTCTATATTCCCTAACAGAAACTCCTTTCGGTGTTTAAAAGGACTCTACTTAAACATGTTTAAAATACAACAGCAACAACAACAAGAAAACAGAGGAAACGTTGGGAATTTCTTTACATTATTTTCGCGAACGTCTTCAAGTCAGCCCCATAACTTATTGTGCTAGTTCCAATTCTCCTCGCTTGTGTTTAGGAAGCGGACTGTGACCGTGAGCTATGGAGGTTTTTCCTGTAACTCTTACTCATTCCCACTCTTTTTTCAGCCTGATTATGACACTGCATGTAAGTAGCGGAACCCCAATATCCATTTGCATCGAGCTATTTTGTGCGCGTCAATTATTCATAGCTTCTTGCGCAAATACATTTTTTGTTTCTTGCTGTTCTACAGTATATTTGCCTTCATCTTTATTTGCCGTTGCTCAATTGTGCACTTTTTGGTTAGCTAGTTAGTTAGTGTGATTTTTTTGTAAATTTACTACTCACCAGCGCTGGAGCCACCAATAAAGGTGAGATTGAATCCACTGTAATGTTCAGTATCATCTGACACGAAACGGATGTAGGCAGTCGATCCCGAAACACTAGAGGAAATCCCACCGCTCCAATCGACGAACCAGAGATACTCGTATAAATAATTGAAACTGTATCGTCCACATGATTTGGATTGCACATCTAAATTATTGTAGGTGACACCACTCTGAAAATGATCACATTTGCAATTCTCGCATCTTTCCAAGTCAAACCTGATAAAAAAATTGCACAAACAGTTAAACTGGCTTCCTTCCCTCACGAATCAATAGGGACCTTAAGCGAACCACGACGGCGACGGAAACGAGGACATGGAAAAACAAAAGATGTAATTGGCAGAACAATAGCTTAGCGCGTGCGTTTTAAAACTTTGTACATTTCTTAGCCGTCCCATGCAAAACAACAACGTGAAATCACCACAATTTGCGTCTTCTGCGAACCGAAACTGCGACGGCAAATTATTTTAATTTCCATTTGGAACTCAACGCTTCTTTTATACGTTATGCGGAAGCTGAGGTGTGGCACCGTATGAGACGGTAAACACATGCAGCCATTTTTGAAATTCTAATTAAAGGCAGAAATGTATTTTTTAATCCAAGTCTTCCCTGGCGTTGCCGTCCTGACTGGCCGATGGGGCGATGGGGTTGGGGATAGGGGGGGAGGGAAGAGATAGATTTTTGCTTTTCAGGGGAATGAAAGGGAGATGAGTCGTCGAAACAGTATAAAGGGGGAACTGTAAATTGACGGCAATTTATCTGCAGAGTTTAGCTCGTGATCGCTCATTAAACACAACAGGAGTGCCCCATTTTTACCTGTTCATCCCAAAACAACAAAGTTCAATTAAAATACAAATTGTTGCTATGTTAAAACACACGCCAATGCATGAGTGGAGCAAAGGCCAGTCTTTGAGTAACTAGTTTCACTCCATTTTATCATAGCGTTCGTAACAAATTTAGACAGCTAGATGCCTCGCCTAATCTTAGACGCTCGTATAGACCCGAAAATTAGACAAAATTCCATAAAACACATTTATTAACCAGGTTATTGTTGTAAGTTTTCATACCTCCCGATCAACTTACACGCTCATGAAGCAAATTTACCTGTTCCCCTTTAATGTTCTGCATTATTCTTATGATTTCCCCCCTCCCCCCCCACTGGCAGTCAATTTTATTTAGTCTTCCCTTTATACTCTGTTAGCGACGACTGATTCTTCCTCTGTTGCCCTGAAAACCATGTTATCCTTGCAAGGCGTGCTCGCCTTGTCTGCATCAGATCAAATGTGCACATTCCTCGTTCATGCATCAATAAGCTAACCCTCAAAATATCTGAAGCTTTGAAACTCTATATCGTATTTTTAAAGGAATGCGAAAGGGTGAGAACAGAGGAACCTTTCTTGTCTATTTTCCATAATTTTCTAGGTTTGTTTTGGAGAGTGGAATTTTTTAGCTGGCTACCGACGATATACTTACTTGTAAAAACGAAAACCAATTGCTGCATATGTGTCGGGAACTTCAATTTTCCAACACTTTGTCTCATTCACGCCATAATTACCTGACGAGGGATATATGAGGCTGCCGCTGGATGCAGTGATGTTTATTAAACCATTGGGACAAACTGTTTTGCAAAAAAAATGTGGAAACAACGTATTATTCTCTCTAATATTAAATGTTGCTATCTGTTTTGGCAACGTGTAACTGTATCGATAAACGTCATTTACCCCAGCAGGTTTCAGTTAACCTCTGCGCTCGTCAATAAAGGAAAATAATTCTTATCTACATGATGAGAAATACGTACTAAAAGGCGTGAAATAAATTTTCATTCACAGGCCGGTCGAAAAAGCCGCGAGCCAGTCAAATTCCTTGTATAGCATTTTTCAAGCGTGAGGAAAACGATACGTCCAAGCTGGAAGCAAATTGTTAAAAAATTGTAAACAACACACTTGTTATGGATAAAAAAAAAAAAATCTAATTATCGAGAGACAATTGCGCAATCATGAGGAAATGATCACGTGCTGTAATGAGCAAGACTCTTCCTTGAGTTTCTCGCGGAAAACATGAATGTTGATTGACTAAAATTATATTAATATTCTTGCACAGGTGAAAAGCGGGTGGTCATGCCGGATGTACTCTGACATAAAGTGAGAACGTTCTTTACATATAAGGATCTCTCATCGTGTTGTGTCAAAAACTAAAACACTTAGCTTGAGTATTGAAGACGGGACTTACTTGAATCACATGTTCCTTCTTTGAGGAGAAGCGCCAGAACTACAATAGGACGAAAAAAAAGTGACATTACGCGTTAGTGAATTAGAGGTATGTTGTACCATTAGCTTTTATGTTAATCTAGCATTGATAAATGTAAAGCGAGCCAAAGATTGGGATTGCATCCGTTGATTGAGCAGGAGAATGGAGACCAATGCAGGGTCGAAATTGACATAAAACAGTGAAAATCTATACTACTTCCGGAAGGGTTTTTCCTTACGATCACACTTACATTATTCTTTATGTTTAAACGGAAAGATGCAGATAGACCGGCGGTTAGAAAGTTAAGCTAACGTTAACACGATTCTTCACTCTTTGCTCGCAAAGTTCCTTGATAAACTTGTCCTAAAAGCGATGCTGCTGTCCTAGTATACTAAATCTTCAGCCCTTTGCCACTTTTTAATTCGATGGCATTCATAACACACCAACGAATTTGCATCTGTTGTTGCTATGTATATGGATGCTGCATGTAAACTAATGTCAGAAGATTACCAATAAATTATTGTACAACGCGTTTTGACCTTCATAAACTTGCCTTAATCCGGTCATCAATCAAATTGAAATGGCCAGAATATGTCAAGTTCTATCGCACAACAAAAACACTTAGATAGATATTGTATTGAACTTTGTTCTTAGCACTAAGCTACATTTACATTTGTAAGCCGTATATTTCAGTTTACTGATATTGAGTGATCACTATTTACTTTAAAGATTCTTCAAGTGCATCGCGGTACCAAACGAACCAACGGCAAATACGAATGAATCCTGTGTCTTGATGATAATGCCAATCATATGCATCTCACTGCACTGACGCTTTTTAAATGAAAATATTCATTCAATCGTTTATTTTGTTAAGAGTCGCTTCCCAAATTCAAGAGTATTCGTCTCAAGATTTTTCCAGGAAACCGGCTTAGTTCTGATTACTCCCTATCTGAGTCAGGTAACAGCATCGCTGACAGAAATAAAGGTTTATCGCGATCACAGCCCTCTTGTTTCTACGTTAGTCGTGTTGGTTCTACATAAAAAGTACAGACCTGTGAACCTTACTACTCGAACCAAATTCGTCTTCTGTCTTTCTTCCCAAAACACCATGACTTGTAGATAAAAGTGAGTTGAAATTCTCTGCCAAAAATACTGATTCTTCGACTTCGCGTATTTTGCTGTCGACCGGTCGCACAAAAGTGGTGCTCTGAACTAACCGAGTTAATAAAAAGCTTTTTCAGTAACCAAGCAACCAGGAAAAAACATCCCACCTATTTTGGAAACGACAGTAGTTTTGACAGTCCGAACAAAGAGGCGCAAATTATATTTTTTTTTATTCAAACGTTATGTATGCATGATGTTACGCACAACAGTAGAGTAGCATGAATAAGACCCCTTTTGGTTAATATTTTGCATTTCAAGCTTCCAATTGTAAACACAACTTGTTTTACATTAAATAACTGTCACTAAAATAATCAAGTTTAAGGCTATAATTTTTGTAAAGGTTCTCCGCAGTCCATCACATGTAGCAATAATCAAGTTTGGGCTATATAGCATAGTTTTTCGTCATCAGGAAAATTGTGTTCCCCGAAAGATTTGTTCAACGGCATCTCTACAGTTTTCTCCTAACAGATGGTATGATTTACACAGCTTCAAACTTCATCATGTTTACAGGTTCTTAGATGAAGGAAACAATACCGGAAACAATACGTCGCTTTTGGGATTACGGTTTGTTTAAGGAAAGTTGGGGGTTACACGGAGATCTTTCCTCAACTAGTTTTCAAATAGCTAAGAGAGTGACAATAAGTAGGAAATGTATCTTTATTTAGCGACGATTATATTTCCGTATTAACCCATAAAAAGCGAATACGAATACTAGATCCTTAAAGAAAAGAATTGTTTTCGCCATTGTGTTCCTTATGAAAGAACTGCATACATAATTAAGTATGAGGTTACACGCAAATCTGTGAGGTACTCGATGTCCAGCCTTATTCGAATAAAAGAAACAACTTTCAATCATTAAAACTGCATTTTGAATTATCTCAACAATGGTTTTTCTTAAAGTGCAAGAGAATAAGCTTCGTGGCCTCGCTTTTGAGTAAAATATAAAACTTGTTTTACGCATCAGTGACGGGTCCAAGAAGGCTGATTCACATGAAAATGAAAGAATGACATTTGAGCCCGCCACAAAAAAAATAAGTCTCTTAGTGATATTACAACCTTGCGGTTGATTGCATTCATTCGAAACTCTGTTTTTCCAAACAAATACAACTTTTTTAAGGACTTGTAGTACTAAAACTGTTATGTCCCAGTAATTAAGAGGGAACTTATAGGCATATTAGCGTCGCCCTTTCATTTCAACAATGGAGTGTTAAAACAGGCCACTAGGAATGTTAATTACAACCTAATAAACTTTGTGTAGATAACAAAGACTACACCGAACAGAAACAGAGACCGATCTAACTAAGAACTGTTTCTTTCTGTACCATGTTTTGACTTTTTACTCTTACTGATATCTTCTACTCTGACTGTAAGTTTTTTTCCCTCTATACTGCTTCCGAGAAGTTAATCTTAGAGAAAGGCAGTCATTCATATTTAACAAATGAAGTTTTGTTAGTGTTTGTTTATCTGTTTCTGTTTCCATTAATTTTAATTTGGAAATGCGTAATATTGCAAGTAGCGATGAAATTGCGGCTGAAAAGTTCCGTAAGGAAAGGGTCCAGACATATTTGAGCATTGAGACTTGCAAAACATTCTTTTTCAGGAATCAAAATTTACTAGACAACTTTCCCAATCTCCTCAAGCGATATTCTTAACAAAAAAAAAAAAAACAAAAAGCTGGTGCTGAGCGACTGGGCACGACGATAGTCATACGCGAGGGACTAGTGATGAGTATTCTCATCCTCTCTTTTGCACCAAAAATTTTTTTCTTTTTTTCCATTTTTTTTTCAGTAAAGTAGCCCTGTGCTACGCCGTATGGAAGGCCTACTTTTGGCAGCGTTCTGTCGACCATCACATTACTTGGTTTGCCAGCGAAAGGCAAATTATTACGTAAGTACAAATTTAAAAGCTTAAATGTCCGAAGAAGATATCTAACGAACTAATTTGACAGAGGTTATCGATGGGGCTAACCGTAAGCTGTAAAATGGCAAAAGAAAGAAACAAACAAAAACCAAAAGAAACCAAAATTAGCTGTTAGGCGTAAAAATTGAAAAATTTTAACCGTTAGTCTGAAAAAAAGGTAACCGTAAAAATATTCCTTTAATTGCAACGGTAAGAAATTAACCGATAGCCGTACTATGGCCTTTAAACGTCAGCCGAAAAATCCATCATCCTATTAGGAACGTCTTGATAGAGTTCGAATCCAACGTGAAGACTCTCAGATATAAATTTGGGGCAACTACTAAATGATTTAATCGTTCTTTATTGTTCTTCTTCCTTATTTACCTGTATTTTCTTTTTTTTTAACCTATTTTTTTTTTTTTGGCACCATGTTCTGCAATTTCATATATTTGAGATTACTCCTCCCCACTCCCCGGGAAAACCACGAGGATTTGACGTCTGTGTCCGGGAGTGGAAATTTGAACCTTGTTAGGTTGTGGTGGGAAATTTGAACCGGAAGTGTCTAGTCTTTCTGAGGAATACAAGTGTCTTTTAAGATGAAAGTGCCTAAAGGTAATAGGCTCAGAATTCGAAGTAAAAGGTCTGAAAGGTCTGGATTTTAAAGTTTGGTAAATAAATAGTCACCGTCGTTGATTTGCTTTTTAAAAAAGGGTTACCATCAAATCCCGGTAGTTGGGTGGGGTATTCTCAAAAGTTTAAAAGCCGGGGGGGGGGGTTTACCGGGGAAGGATGTTGAAACTTTGATTGGTTGACGCACAATAGCAATCTAGAATGCAGCGAATCAAAATCAATCAAACCAAAGATTTTAGTTCGCTAGGGAGGGGTCTTTCCCTCTTGTCCAGCTGAGTGTTGCTCTACAGTGCATGCGGCCATATAATCAAATCTTTTTAGGAATTTCCAAACAGTGAAGATAATCCCACGATGATAATCAAAGATCTCAAGAAAACACATTCTTTTTTCTTCAAAGAAATTGTCTCAAAGAGCGCTATAAAATCAGCTCAGTCGAACATTTAGCTGCTTATATTATCAGGTTGAACTGTCGATCGCATCTGTGTAAGCATTCCAAGTTGACAGAGAATGATTTTCTTCAACGCTTGTCTGTTTCGAGACAGTCTCCAAGCAAACGCAAAAGGATCCAGAGCGCACTTAATGAACATTAGATCGAGACAAACTTTTTGAAAAATGACGATTGCCTTGTACCGCTGACATGGATCACAATATTCCATCAGGTAGTATGAAATTGTAGCAAAAACTGCCGGAATGGTAGAAAACATAACAAAAATGAGTAACACTCTGCAAAATTTATTCTGGAGGGCAATTATTTTTTCGATTTCGTCCGTATTGGCGCGCCCTGGATTGTTGACGGCTCTTCGCAGATTCAAGGATCTCTTGGTCTGATCATGAAAAGCGAAGTACAACAAGATGTAAGAAACAACAAGCAGGGTTGAGTTAACAGTTGAGTTGAGATATAGGTCCACCTTGAAAACAATTTCCATGGACACGTTTGCGTGAGGAAGTATTGAAAATATAGAAGCGTTTATTGAAATGACGGCGATGAGAACTTGAGCGCGTTGCATAGTTATCCAGCTTTTGTATTTCGTTGGTCGAAAGACAGCGATGAAGTAATCGACAGCTAGAGCGAAAACCATTCCGAAGGAAACGTTAAGCGTGAGCAAGGAGAATGAAGATCCAACTTTTGCGAGGTTTGGCAAATTAGGTTTTCCGAAGTAGTCATTGTACTCGAGGGTTGCAAAAATTGGCGCAACAATGAGCCCGGTGAAAACATTCGCCACTGACATCGCAATGAGAAACGAGGACGAAGGAGCACGAAACGCTCTCAGTGGGTCCACGTAAGCTGTTAAAACTAAAAATCCATTGCTGACTACTGTTATGGGAGCTAATACTATTTTGAACACTGCAAAAACTAACAGCTCTGGTTGCATCGAAGATCCGGTGGTAGTATTCAAGTGATCGGTCAAGTTTGAAAAACTCATCATTGTAGCCGTAGAAAACGATGTTGAAGCTTTTTGACTACTTAGGAAATGTGATAAAAAATTGATTCTAAGAATCCCTTTTAATATGAAAATCTGTCCTTAAAAGCAAATAAAGCTGGCCCCATTCACAGCAATAAACCGAAGTCGTGTCAGTTAATGTTTATTGAAGTGTCAGCCGATAGTTTGAATGCGTATTAAAAAAAGTGACTTGAATAGAAATAGCTTCATTGGCGGAAAGGTCTCTGACAGATATTAGTCGGCTCAAAAAAAGAAATTGCAAGCAAATACTGACAGTCACATTATTTCAATTATATAACTTCTGTTGTGCAGGGTAATACTTCCGCAGAATAATGATAAACAATGCAGAACAATCAGAAAAGAACAAAAAAAACAGGAATGTAATGTCGTTGAAGGTGGATTGTAGAATTTGTGAAGAGTAAATTTTAAGCTATCCTTGACGTCAATAATTCTTATGTTCAAACAGTTGCCTAAACCTGTATTTAGACTTTTTAAGGCATAAAGGAAAAATCAAAACAAAGCTTGCTTTCATTGTGCCATCGCAGTTTTTTTTTCTTCCCAAGCTGGAGAGAAACAGCAATGGAAAGTATGTACCTAGCAGTGGATAGTGTTCGCGTGAAAATGGACCGTGCGTGCGTGCAAATGGACAGCTCTTGCGTGGCAATGAAGTAAATGGCCATTCTCGATCCACTGAATCGACACATCCTGCGAGAAGTATTTAAAAAAAAAAGAAAATTCGATTCGTAGTTTTCTGTCGACTCTAATTTAAGGTTAAATCAAATTGAGAATAGCACTCAATTAAAAAAGAAAAAAACACTCCAAAATTTTTGAAAGCTCTCTGTCAAATGTACTCGATGCTTAGTCTCACCACAGGCCGGATTTTTTTGGGATCCATTGCTCACCTAAATATTGCGGGAGATTTTTCTGAATAGAAAAACATGTAATTTTTCTAATCATGTAATCTCCTTAAGGCAAAGGAAAATCTCCTTCCCCGAGGAAACTATAATTGTTCGCTGCCGCAAATTATCAATTGACCTCTGCAGCTTAATTTGTTGTCATTCGTTTCTCATGTGAAAATCTTTTTAATTGTGTTGGAACTATTTCGCTATGATTTCATTGGTTATAAAAACAAAATATATAACATAGTGGAAGGTAGGATGAGCCGAAGGAAATCCCTCTAAATCAATGATATGTATTTTTTCGGTATTCAAGTTTCGGCCAGGGTATTTTTCTAGGCTACGGGCGCTAGTTAATTAGGCGAAAGGCTTTTCATTTCAGAAATGTTTTTTTTAAGCAAATAGTCGACCTCATGTTGACAAATCTACATTAGCAAAGTGATTAATTTTATTCGCAAGGTTCCGTAAAATATATTTGGTATGAAAAAGCAGGATTTTATTCCTTATAATATTGAAAACGAAACCAATTTGTTTTCGAGATATCTAGAGCAATCTAAACCACCTTTGGATTAAGAGAAAATCGTTCATGTGTAAAGTAAAGTTGATGACAACATTTCAAATATATGCTAATGATAGCATCAGGGAGTCTATCAACAGCACCTTCGTTTGTTGCATGTGTCACGAGTTTTTCAGTACTTGCAATCATCATAACAGTACCAGATTTTAACAATTATTATCGCTTAAAATACCACGTATACATCTGAAATGATTGTACTCGTCAAACAGAATCTAAAAACGCGTTCGCATGGAAGGAAAATAAATTCCCTATTCGAACTTCTTCTTTGCAAATTAAACTGATACTTCCTTTTTGTTGGGAAACGACTTAAAAAAGTTCTGCTACTATAGCAGATACAAGTCCCGTAAACATGTACAAGTTCTGCTAAAATAGAGCGCATTTCGATTCTGTGTCCTATAACCGAAACCAACATAATCACATCAACCAATCACAACAGAGCTTTATATCACATGGAACCAATGAGAACTCAAACTGCATACAATCGTCTCTTTTGTCCAACCTCTTTTAATTCCGGTTTGCAACCATGCGCAAATCCGGAGATTATCTACAGGACATAAATTTTAACCTGTGTTTGCTCGCCGCTAGAATACGAGCTCGCTGACACACAAGAAAGAGCAGCGGTATGAGACATTTCATGAAAGGCATGTGGAAATTCGTAACTGTAACCTGACACCTTTTGAAAACTTCCAGCCACGCCCGCGAACCATATGAGCAATTTATTCCTGTTATAATTGCCGAGAGTATTTTTAAGAGCCGTTTTGGGGGTAGAAAGACCTGAAGAGCTAATTTGGGAATTAGCAATTATCTTTGGATGAGTTGGGCTACAAGGGCCTAATTTTGTCTCTGTTGTTGTTTTCTAGAGTTTTTTACTTTTTATGTTTATTGATCATGAGCACTAGCTCGCGGATCCATACGAGGCGATTATCTGCTTGCTTTTCGACGTCTTCCTTCTCGTTTTAGATCACTATGATAAGCACAGCTAATAGTAAACAAATAAAGAAACTGCTTCTTTCAGTCAGGTGGGCGGCGCTTGGATCAATGGAGCTTGGAGTTACTGGTTTCAATGATTCGTCTGTTTAAAATTATGTTCCAAATAAAATAAATCAGTTTTTCTTGTCACAATTTAACATAATTTGCGCAATTAAGGCTTCAAAGTGTAGGTTAGTTTATTACTCAATGATCGCTTTTACAATAAAGAGATAAATTTCGTGACAGAAGATGCAAAAACTTCAAATAAATTGTAACAAATATCTTTTCGCTTCAACTGCATTCAATTTTTCTGTAACAAAGGATGAGCGTAAGTACGGCAAACATATGTGTGGATTTTTCTATTATAATCTAAAAGAGATGAAACATACCATAAACATAAAAAAGTGTTTCATTCCACCGACAATGTGATCGTTCACGTGACAATGAAGCAACCAGACCCCCACACTCTCCACGGTTCCAAAGACTCCCGGGAAGAGATCGCAAACGTCTTCGTGGTGATAGCCGACATGTTTCTGTTCGTAAATAAGTGAATTAAAAAAATGTTTGTGTGAAGAAGAATTTCCTCTGTAGGCATCCTCTTCCAAAAATATACTTGCTAATTGATGAGCCCGGAGACTTTGAGACAAAGGCTAAATTTGCTTAATAAGACAAACGCGTTTCAACAGGGACATTTAGCACCGCGTTTACCTGAATCGTGAATGGCAATAGCGACCACGTGATCACAATTTTCCCTCCATTTTTTCACCGCGTTTGCCGGTTGCACTTTGCCGTTTATATGTGAAAGTAAGCTCTCTCGCGTTTGCCGTGAACGTAAGATTTTCTCCCCTTTTTTTCTCACAGAGTAGAAATTAATTGTCGGAAAAGTACACCAAAACTATCCCCTGTAAGTCATAGAGATGAAGTTTCATGTTGAAAATCCTTCAAGCTAAAGTAGTAAGGTTCACGCTATTTCACGTGAAACGTGAAAGGGCAAGCTGAAGTTTAAACTGCAACACTGTTGTGATTTTGGTTTTCGTCAGTTGCCGTAAACATTAAATTCACTTTTACTAACCATGTCAGGACTTTATTTAAACAAGTGTACAGCTGATTTCTATCACCTTTAGACCACGAAATTATGGTTATTTTTCTATTTTTCACTGTCACTCACACATAGAAATGTTTGACCATGGAAATGGACTGTTCGCATTGCATTGTCGATTTTGTCAACCGGTGATGTATCATCATCATCATCATAATTTGAGCCCTTGTTTCTTTTCCTTCGCGGAAAAAGGGTTAATGAACGAGGAAGTTTAAACATTTATCCCGTCTAATTTTTTCAGATACCCTAAAATTATCTTGCCACAGAAAACCACAGAAAAAAAAATTGTATCCGTTAAGACTAGAACCCAGGACTTTTCCAACTGGAATTCAGCGTGCTGAAACTTCGGCTATCGCGTCTCCCTCAATTAATTTATTACAAGCCGCTGTTTTCACTTACGTGTAATACAGTCCATGCGTATGCACGATAATCTTTCTGCTGGCCATATTCTCAAAGGTCACCTCGATTGTGTCTCCAATCTCAGCGTGTAACATGGGACCCAGTACCCCGAGATGCTTCTCAGCCTCGGTCCTCGTTTCCCGTCGGATACACTGGTGTATTCGCGGCACAAAACTTTCTTGTATTTGCAGCCAGTTCGATCGAGGCCGTTGAGAGTGAATGTTGCAGCTTCTCTACGGACAAAAAGGAAGTTAAATCAGATAGCGAGCCAGGAGTTGTATAAAACTGAAACATAAAAACCAACACTCATTTTCATTTTCAAACTTTTCATTGTGTTTAACCCCTTAAATCCATAGATTCGATTGATAGGTCCTCTTTTGAGCATCAATACATTACAGGGTGTTACATGTGGATATTGGCACCCACTAGGTGATAACTATGTCTATTCCCATCACCCAGATGGTTGTGGATGTATTTAAATTGCGAGGAGAAGATACATGTTAGTCGATTTGGGAGGTAAAGAGTTGAAACGCCGGATAAATTATTAAAGCACGCGTCATAGGGTAAAATTTAAATTTTTCTTGGCTGTTTGTTGCCGTATACGAAACTCCATAAGGTACAGAAGTCATGGATCAATGTCAGTGTCTGATCCACCGCACAGCTACCCTTCCCCTAACCCAACAACAATCCACTGATGGCAAGTTAGGGGTAAAGTTGGGTTAGGGTAGGAGTAGGTGTATAAATAATAGTATTAATAGCATAAAGTTTCGTGTTAAAAAAAAACAAAACAAAACAAAACATGAATGAAGAAAAAAAAAAAACTAAACAAAAACCAAACAAAACAGAACTGATGAAAAATATATCCAAACTGGCATAACTTACAAAAAAGGAATTCAAATCATGGTGTCAGAGTGACTTTCATCATGCTTGGGTCCGACGCGCAAGCTCCATTGCGGCTCGCCATGGCGATATACGAGTCACCGCAGTGAAGCAAGCCTCAGAAATTACGACGACCGTCCTTCGAGTGAAAGACTAAGAGCTTGCTCCAATATCCTTTCCGATGCGTTGAGTGGAAGAGCACAGGGGTCACATTATTGTGACCAACGCTTATTGTAGCGTGCTTTACGGAATACGGATGTGCGCTCACGCCACCTCATGGGATTTAACTTTGTATCTTTTTGTATTACGATTTACGTACAGCTTGCACAGCTACCTTTATTAACCATGTTTACACAACAGCTAGTTTGGGGGGAGAGGGGGCGGCTGAAATTGTTCGTTTTACCGCATGAATGCTCCAGATGACATTACCATATTCTGTTAAAGTAATTGTTTAATTTTCCTTGTCTAGTATTATGATAATAAATACAAAACCAAGTAAGTAGTACAGAAAATCTTAAGCAAAGACAAAAAATGAAACCATAGTATATTATAGCGAAACAGACGACGTAACTATGTCTGTAAACGTAGTTCTAGATAAAAGGAAAAGGTTGTTGATTAATATTACGACTGCAGGAATTTCCTTAGGTGATCTTATCAGTGTTTGTGTAAACAGTACACCCTATGTGCTCTATGATAAATCATAACTTAGCTTATCCAACTATTTGTTTTACTTATGGATACAACTGTTGCTCTCAATTTTTCCTGATGGTTTTTTAAAATATTTAAAAACAATTTCACTTTAATTTTTCTCACCTCGTGTTAAGATAAAATGAAAACAAAACCAAGGTCATAATTTTGAAATTGGTTCAAACATCTTGAGCAAAAAAAAAAATTAAACTACAATACATTTTGAAAACCAGGTTAGACAGAACAAAATGAAACAAAAAAACAATGCTTTTCTAGGGTTTCTTATCTTGAGAGTTTTCCATAGTCGATCAAAGTTCAGCTGAATGTATTATATCGATGATTCCACTCCACAGATGACAGCTCTTGGACACACATAACGGAATCAGAACAGGTTGATTTTATCCACGATCAGAGCTGAAAGGAACAGCAGCGTCAATGGACAGCTGACAGACAATCTACCCTGTCCTGGTACGATAATAACAAAAAAAAAATTTGAAAGAAAAATTTGTTAATCATTTGTTTTCACAGCTTGTTGAAAAAGTAAAGTAGAAAAGTTGGATCAATATCAGTATCTGGGAAACTGCCCACCTACCCCTCCCCTAACCCAACATTAACTTGTTGTCCATTGACTATTGTTGAAAGGAACCAGTTAATTCGATTCTCTCTCTTTCAAAATGAAAAAAAGAATGCTGGTGCTGTGTCAGCGGAAACAGGCTTACTGATAACTGGGAGTTGAATGAGGTAGATTTTACATCCTAACAAATTTTGAGAATTTTCACCTTGTGAAGGATTAAAATGCATGTAAAAGAGCTTCTGTTCCGCGAAAGACACACCTAACACACCATGTTGCATTGCTACAACGTACCTGCTTTAAAGGAAGCCTTGAATCCCTTGTACACTGTGGTGGAGTTTACATTGCTTTTGAACTGAACCCAAACCATGTTCCCTTGACTCTGTATCGAACTGGGTTTTGTATTTCCACACAGGCGATTGGTCAGAATTGGTCCGTAATAGCCAGAAATTACACTAGGATCACCAGCCGAGATGGATGCTTCACGGAACTCAACATAATCATTTCTGCAGTCTTTACTATCCTCCAGATCAAACGTGTCGAAGTCTATCTGGACCTGCTGTCCTTCAGGAACAATTAAAAACCACTGCTCTTTGTAATTTGAAGGGTAATTCTGGATGCCAGCCTTTGGTGTGCCAAACGTAATAGTTTCGCCGTCGGATGCATTCAGATAGTTTACCTCGCCTCCTGTAAGGTAAATGTAGTTCTTTTACTTCTTTAGGGGGAAATTGTCTGCATAACCATACCGAGTTCTCCCTTATTTGACATATTTCTTTAGGACCATACCGTTCTTGAACGTCTTATGTTAAATATATCTGTAGTGAATAAAGTACTGAGCGATCCTCCCAGTTATGAACAGCACTTAACTAGTAGTTGAAATTAGGCCTGAAAAAAATTCAGGCCCTTACGGAATTCGAACCCATGACCTCTGCGATACCGGTGCAGCGCTCTACCGGTGCAGCACTCTACCAACTGAGCTAAAGGAGCAACAGTTTTTGCGTGGTTTCACTTTCCGTTTGGTCTTTCCTCTCTTCTGATGAGTAATGGAATCTTTTTCAGATCAAGAGATACAAAGGTTAATTAGTTGTCCCGCTACATATCTCCATAACCTGAGCCTCAACCTAATGCACTCACCCGTAAATGTGTGCTATTATCTTAAGAGTCAACCCTAGAGCTTCCTTCCTAACAAAATGGTGTGTTTGTTTGCTCGTTCGTTTGATGGATGATCTTTTGTTTGTCTTCAAGTTTGATTATGTGTGTGGTTATTTCTTACCATGGCTAGAGAGAGCGATAAAGTTCAGGTTAAATCCTTTGTAATGTGCAGAGTCGTCCGACACAAACCGAAAGTAGAGGGTCGATCCAGGAACAATTCTTTGGAATCTATGACTCCCAACCACGGGGAGAAGGTACTCGTGTAAGTAGTTGTAACTGTAACGTCCACAGGATTTAGTTCCCCATTGCAAATTACTTTCAGAGGAGCTATACTGAACAAAGTCGCATTCACAGCTAGAGCACATTTCAATGTCCAAGCTACGAAAAGAAATAATTACCATCGAATCACAGTTCTGTTTTCACCTAGAAACAAAGCTACTTGAAAGAAGAACCAAAATAAATATACTATAGGGGTTTGTGATTCATGTGCTACAGGTTTTTTTGATCCAACCAAATCTAATCGAGGCAAGTTGTCACTATTTTTGGGTACTTACTTACTTGGGTTCAAGCATTTAAGATGCTACTTTCTGGATTTGTTCCCGTTTTCCCCTATGTCAACTCTTTTTCTGTGGTGTAGGTGGCAAGCCAGTCAGCCGCCTGTTTACCCTAGTATTCAATAAATTTGAATATATATACGATGTTTTTGTTCATGTTTGTCTTTTTTTTTTTTCGTTTTAATCTGGGAAGCTCTTTTGTATGTGTGATCAGTGATTAACTGAAATGACTATCATTATAGTGATTATTAACATCGGTATCGACATTTCAAACTGAAACATCACAGGTAAGTTACTTGTTAAGGTTATCTCTGAGTAACCCCTCTACGTACCTCTCGTGAGTAGTTAAATTGTCGAAAAAATTTTCTTTTTTGGTGTCTTAAGCAGAATCAGCGCTAAACAGCTGGAGGTATATTTCAGTGTTGCTTACTTCATGTTTGCTTTTTACAGAGATTATAATTCTTTATTGACATGTAACGTACGAGTTTGAACACAGATAATTGGAAATTGTTTTTCGCCTCCTCCAATCTTGCTTTGTAGTCCAGGAGTCAGGTGCTTCCTCGCAGAACTGTTCAAAAAGGGCCATTTTTCAGGTGGTTTTTTTTCTGCCGTTACGATGTTTGTTAAGAAAATAATTAGTGGTAGCATAAAATGAAGTCACAACTTTAGCTCTGAGCCTCAGAGTTGACACGTTATTGAAAGGCGCAAAAAAATGAAAAACGTACCTGGAGAAACGAAATAAAATACCAGCGTAAGTGTCGGGAACCGTAATGCTCCAGCATTTGGTCTCATTCTTGCCATAAGTTCCTGACTCAGGGTACTTGAGGCTACCGCTGGAGGCTGTGATGTTTGTCATACCATTGGGACACGCTTTAGTGAAGACCAAAGGTACATTCACATATTGACTACATTTCTTTCCCAAATTGAGGAGACAAATCCCTTATATAGGTGAATATTATTTTATCGTATACGATTTGGAATATTCATGTCGAGATAAGTAAGATGGAACATTACCACCCAATTTCGTTCTTGTTAATGTTACGTTAAAGTGCAGTGTTAGTTAGTAATAGACTTACTTGAGCCACTTGCTCCGTTTCCAATGAAGAGTGCCAGAACTACAACGAAATTAGATGAATTTAAAAGTAGAGAACGACTAAAACCCAACTTGCACGGGCAATTATGAAGCCATTATATCTTTATCGGAAACGTTGCCACGACAACTTGTTCTGCTCAGTTTGTACCCTTATGTCATAAATGTTTTCCTTACCTTATCATGTAAAATAAACACCCTTTTTGCTCGAGATCAATGGCGCAAAAGTTTGAAGAATTTCTTCATTGTCAACTAGACACAAAGGGTTCATCCAATTTAAATTAACCATATTTCGAGATACCCTGCTGAGGGGTGCTTGCTGCCGGTCCATTTGAATGGCAATTTATCTCATACAGCCCCTCAACCCCTCCCATCTACTCTACAACCTCCCCCCCCCATCCTGCCATTGCATTTTACAGTTCGTTTGGTAGAAAGTGCTGGGACGCATTCACACTCCCAGACACTGTGAGAGCAAAGTGTCTTACGCAAGAGTACAAAACAATAACCTAACCAAAGCTTGACCTAACCTAACTTGCAGTCTTGGCCATGGCATTTAACGTCTTACTTGAGCAGAAAAAGTTTCGAAAACAAAGCAGTTCGATATGAGCTTAATTGCTGACAGAAACACTATGCATCGGAAATGTTACTATAGCTCACCAAAATTGTACGGTTTTTGCTGAATCCGTGGATGCTAGTTGGTTTATCAATTACTCTCCCACTCATTAATTGAATCATTTCCGGAGTAAAAATCTTAGTCATTTTAACTTTTTAACGCCGGTGCACACGAGAGAGCAAATTTATGCGACTGTCTAGAATCAAATAGTATGATCTTTTCTTTCTCCGACAGTATAAATACAAGAGTCGACACCGAACTAATCAGAAGGCCGCCAAAGTTTCCATCCAACAATAAAGGCGGTATAACAAAGCAATCTAAAAGGAAATTAATCAAGAAACTAACTGGTATCCACGGATTCAGCAAAAACCGTGGAATGGCGATAAATTCTTCTTTGTTCATTCAAATATTACTGCATGTATGAACTCTGTTTACATATGGAAAGGAAAATTTGAATATCAAGTTTATGTGTAAGTGTAAATATTATTAATTTTGCGTTAAATTTTGATTGTTCACAACAAGGAATATGTGTGAAAATACGTCTCTACCGAATCACGTCGATAATGATTCAGAATCCGGCCAAAAACAAAAAAAAAAACTCGGACTCACACAAACCTCAGAGACAATATGTTCCTGAACACGAACAGAAAGACCCCGAGCAATTAAACGTGGGCATCCAATGGAAACTCAGAGTAGTAAGGTTACATTTAGGATCATTTTTTTGAACGACCATGACGTGGAATCTTTCAACCTCTATCTGAAGATTTCATATACCCCAATACTATTCTAAAATTAAAAAAACCGGGCGCAAAGAATCTCTGGTCGTTACCGAGTCATCGAGTCGCCCTAGCTACAAACTCTTGCATGTGCAGACGTGTCAACATGTTAAGTTAGAACAAAACCACACTCCAAGTTGTGTATTTCAGCTCGATGTTGGAAAATCAACAACCGGTTAAGGAAACGCGGGAACTTGAAATAAAAAAAAAATTACACTGTACAAGAGCTGTAAATTGGAATCGTTTTCCAATAGCGCTGCACGTCAGTTCTAAAAATAGATATGTAAATGAAAGACTCCCGCAAGACTCAGACAAACATCTAAGATAGCGGAATGCAAAGAGGACCAAATGACACAAGTAATCTAAATAATTCCAGTTAAAAATGGTTAGCACAAAGTGTTGCTGCCGGGGGAAATGTTCAAGCGATTCGATATTTCCCGAAAAGCTACCAAAATCACAAAAAGAAATGGCAAAAACTGGAAAAAAAATATTCATACCATTCCCAAAACCATCGCAAGGCATTGAACGTTGTCAACTATGGATTAATACCTGCTCTCGTGAACATTTCACCGCGAAAAACATTACTAGAATCACTTATATTTGTGTCTTACACTGGCCAGATGAAATGGGGCCGACAAAGGAATTTCCAGATACTCTTAATACTTGATCAGCAGGGATTTGCTAAAGCAAAGGCATAGAAAAAACCAGGAAAGATTTATTACTCGACGTTTCGGGGTCATCGTGACTCCATTTTCAAGAGACTAGTTTAAAAACATGCAAATAAGGAAAGGTACAAGAATAGCATAAATTAGAATGAACGGCTTAAACAAACACCTTGGCGCGGATGGAATCCGTTTGCACGTTCAGTGTTGGCTTACGCATGCGAATATACAACATTTCATTAACAAGGCAATCAAATTTGCCGTTACATTTCGCGATGACGTTGAATTGCTCGATCAAGCGTTCAGGCATTTCACTATTGTGCTGGAGGTGGTAGTGTTTGTAGATAGAAGATGATTTCCTTGTGTGCCCTTCTACGCGCTCGTGTAAGTGACCACGAGTATAGCCCACATACCCTGCATCACACAGGTTACATTTAAATTCATAAACGATACATTGTTGGTTAACAATAGGGGGCTTAAGGCCAATTTATCGGTGAAGGACATTGAAGAGCAGTTACGCCGAAAGAGAAAGCCGCCAAAACAGAGGATAGAGCCGATTGATGTAAAGAAAGCTAAACTTGAGCTTCGCGAAGATTCAATTGAAAAGGAAGAAAATAAATTGCACAATGATATCAACGAGGGAATAGAAGTGGTTAAAATGGCTAATGATAAAAGTACTCAGACACTTTGCAGTAAGGTAGAGCTAGCATCGAAGATTGAAACCATGATTCTAAAGAACAAGCTCAAAATGTCTACGAAGAATACCGACTCTAGAATTGTCAGCAACCTTTCATATGAAGTTATTGGAAAAGATTTACAACTAATGAAGCACTTTACTGGCCTTACAAATCTTCAGTTCAATGTTCTATTTGAGTTTTTAAATGACATTTGTCCTTTGGATGAGTTAACTTACTGGAGTTGCAATGCAAAGAAACTATAAAAGGTCACATGTAGACTGCCTGAATGGTATTCTAAAGAGAAACTGTTCATTTGCCTTTTACGACTCAAAAAAAGGTTTTACAATAAAAACCCTTTCAATACTGTTAAGTTGTCCTGGAAAGAAAATCAAGGAAACCTCAATAAACGACAATTTTACCATATATATTCAGCTGATGTACAAAATGTTTCGACAAATGGAGAAATTTATGCTTTCCTTCAAGGAATTCCTACAGAAATTCCTACCAAGAGTTTTCAAAACCATGAGGAATGTCAGATGTAGCATTGATTGTACTGAATTCAGAGTGGAGACCTCTAGAAACTTTGCCCAACAAGGTAACACTTATTCTTCATATAAGCATGCCAATACTTTTAAATGTCTAATAGCAGTCACCCCAAATGGTGGTTGCTGTTTTGTCTCTGAATTATTTAAAGGCAATATCTCAGATGTACAAATTTTCGAGGAGAGTGGGATTATGAAGGATATGGAGCCTTGTGACATTCTTCTTATGGACAGGGAATTCACAGTACAAGACCTTGTGAATCCCCTGCAAGCACATATCAAGATCTCTGCTTTCTTAAAGGGCAGAAACAGCTTAAGTGCAGCTGAGGAACTTTCAACACGAAAAATTACTAAAGCAAGGGTGCATGTCGAGCGGTTTAATTAGCGCTTGAAACAGTTCAGGTTGATAGGGAGCACTATTCCATTATCTATTTCACCATTAGCAACTCAAATGGTGGTAGTTCCCTGTGCTTTGGTTAATTTCCAAGAAGTTCTTTGTTAATAAATTAAATATGTATGTTTCTAATTCTGTGCAATTTTAGACAAGAAAAGGGAAAACGTTTTCTAGAAGAAGAGCTTTTTTACCACAATGATATTGTATTTCAAATATCTTTGCTTTTACATCGAAAGGGGAAGTTTGTTAAGTAATAGTTTTACTTTGACAATCTTGATGTAAAACAAGAAATTACAACTACTATTATTGCTAAATAATCCGATGTGGCCAAAGCCTTTTTGTTTTGTTTTGTTTTTGTTTTACTTTGCTTTGCTTTATTCGATGTAAAGAGCATGGCTCACTAAAAATCCCTTTGGCTGACCATTAAACATAGATAGTCAGAGTTAATTTGTCTTTGTTCTTTAAGTCTATCATAGATGAGCCAGGTATTGGCATAGTTGAACATACAGATGTACCACCACCCCATAATGTTGCACTGTGTAGATTCAATAGCTTTCCATTCAAGGTTATGGTGCTTGGTAGATCTTTAGTTCTAAGATGAGTTCTTCTACTCAATAAATCAACAGAAAAAACGAAAAATTTCTTGAAACAGGAAAATGAACGTGGTGTACTAGTCCTAAATCCAGGACAGTGCCATGATACAGTTTGGGTACCGTCGCAGTTCAATGTCATATCTGGTTGACTTGGAATACTAACTGGGGGTTTGCTTTGAAATTTCCTTTGAAAACGACTCATTCTTGGATGAAGCCATCCATCAAGTGAATTGACAAAGGTACTGTTGTTATCATTACATCCAAGTGCAATGCCATATGATATTTGAGTCTTAATCATTGATGGACAGGTGCTCAGGTTACAGGATGATTGTAGTTGCTAGAAAGGGCTGCAAAAGGCTTATAAAGTAATCTGATTCATTACCATAAAAGTCAATAATTCCATGCTTTATCACAGGCGTTTAAGACAGAGTGACCTTTGCATATCCATACCTCTTGAGGCCTACTAAGAATAATGCTGACTTTATGATTTTTCCAACATTATCTAACTCATAAGGACTATTCTCCTTGATTTTACCAATGCTTGCAATATCATCAACCAATTCTCTATTGGACAGTTATTTTCTAATTGAATTCCAGAACTTGTTGTACCACCCCAGGGTATGACTACTAAATCAACAGGAGAATGATTATCACCATGTATTGTTGATTGGCTACCGATTGCCATGGGTTACTGATTGGTCACCATTGTCTTTGGTAGCCATAGGGCTACTGTTGTCATGGGTATTTGATGAATCATTGGTGTCTCTGGTAGCTACTGCGTTATCATTGTCCATAGTAGCTACTGGGCTACTGTCATGGCTTACTGATGGGTCCTCAGCGTCTTTGTTAGCTACAGGGCCATCAATGTCCATGGTAGCTACTGCACTAATGTTGTTATAGGGTGGTGACAAAAAAGTCACTTGGCATCACAAAGGGTGGAAGATTCTTTGGGATGCGCATTTCAAATGTTTCTGCTGCTATTACTCTTTTCCAAAAACCTGATAATGTTCTTAAAATGTCAGCAATTAAAGGCTCACCTCTGTAGATCCTTTCAACTAATACTGGCCCACTCTTTGCATACAGCACAAAATCACAGAAGGTTTTTTCAGTGACCATTAACTGGGTTTGTATTTGGTAGTAGTAGCTGTGGCTTCTTTTAAGTTCACATTTACTACCTTTAACAGGAAAGCATTGTCTTTTGAGAGTGTCTTTACCAACTAGTATTCCACTGTCCTTTATTACATTGTCAATACTGTGTTCACTAAAAATTGTCAAAGACTTAATTTCCAGAAGTCCATCTTCACCTATTAGTCCATCAGGGGAGCACGCAAGGTGGGGGAATCTTGGTTTGTTTTATCTTGATACTTGTTTATTGCATCTTCTTCACTATCTAATCCATATTTCATCCACACAGTTTGAGGTTTATTTCCATCGAGGTTCCAGATACTTGAGGAAATATAGTTTTGGCACTTAACGCTGCATCACTTGTTTCTTTGATTACTTTTTTTCCTACGCTATATGCTTGCAAGCATGTTGAGGCAATGATCTAAACCACCTTTCACAATACTACTTACCACATTTACTCTGGGCCTCTGTTCCTTCAATTTGCATTAAACTTTTTGGTGAAATGTTAGATATTAAATCTCTGACCTGTTCTTCCAGCAAACTTGTGTTCTTAAGCTTATAATCTTTATAATTGATTCTCAGCTGTGGTTCCCACATGGAGATGGTTTCTTGATCTTGAGCAATACTTTGTAAGCCAAGAACAAACTTATTTATGTTATCACTCGTAACCCTTTGATATTTCTCTGGTCTGGGATAAAATAGATCACTTGAATGTTACTTTGCGTCTTTTTGTAGGGTAATCAGCACTCGAAAGTCTTTGGGGGTTTTTCTTTCTCTTTCTCTCTTTGTTCCAGGTGCACTCCTTGCTCGTACATGGGGTTGTTTATTTTTGGACCGGGTATTTTCACATGATCAACAATTGAGAGCTATACTGCCACAACGTGGCTGCAACGTCCCAGTTCCGATGCTTTGTAAGGTACACAAGAAGCACGAATAACTGCACCACTATGAAGGGGTAATCGTTACATTGTGGGGGAGATCGCTTTTCATCGAGGGCCACACGTGAGCTCGAACGAAGTAATGGTCGTCACTCTTCGTGTCGGTCATATCGAGCAAAAATCCCGAGTTAACATATTTGCGTTCGGCGCCGAAAGGTTTGTCTGTCACATGCCCGAGACCGTTATCGACATCATCATCTTCGTCTTTCTCCTGAGAAGGCAAGGCTAGGAGCGATTCTGGGCATAGTGGTAAACATGTCCATAGTTGAACAAAAGTGGTATATCCTGTGACAGGAACGGTTTCCATCCAGACTCTGGAATTACTGATATATTAAGCCCATTATTCTTAATGTTGCTTAAAACAGAAGCATTGTTTTCTTTTAAAATTTTCAATTGAAACCATTTGCCATTGTCAATGCTGGGATCTAAGACAATATGATTGCCCGAACTCAGACAATCATGTACACTTGTCACAAGATCGCTTCTCTTTCCACTTTGTTTAATACCTCTGCACTTTAACCATCGCTTTAGCTGCTCCACGGTATAATTCTACGGGTCGCTTTCGAACTTTGATCCAGGTACACCGTCGTTTTCTGTCAAAATAGCTTCATTTTGAAGGCTAAATGTCGAAGAAACTAAAGAAACATTCGTATCTGCCGCAATTCCACAACCGAGCCAGCTGTTTGTTTGTCTGAGGCTACATTCACACGGTGCCGAACGAATTTTCGACCGGCCGAAAATTTCGACAGGACATTCTGTTCACACAGAACCGTGCGAAAGTTTCCTTCTTTTCAGATGGGAACTGATAACCGGATGAAGTTCGCGACACTTGTCAGTGGTTTTACCATCTCCTCATGCGCAAAACGTTTTTTTAACCAAATGCAAAATAGCACGGATAACGAATATTTCACTTGGACGGATGAGGAGACAGCACTACTGCTTTATGTTGCTTTATCATATAAAAATGAGAAAACGTGCGAGGGGAAAGAATGGGAATCGATACGAACAAGGTATGAGGAATTACAAGAACTTTTCATTGAAAGATATCCAAACAATGATGAATTCGAAGTAGACCCAGCACAGTTTCCAAACTGTAAGGATACTAGCATATTCTCCAAAGAAAAGATAAACGCGAAGTTGAAGAGGATAAAGTTTGGTTATCGGAAAGCTGTAGATTCTGGAAGACGAAGCGGAGGTGGAAGGGTGGTTACAATACTATTTGACAAATGCACTGAACTATGGTCTGGATGTCTGGCTGTCGAAGCTATGGATAATGGTATTGAGACCGCGGAAGAGATACCCGGTGATGATAATCCTGACGAAAGTGAATCGGGGCTACTACCTTTCGCAGCAAATGACCCTGCAAGAGACGATAACACTGGTGTGACAACCTCGGATGAAAGTGCCAACGATGCAGTTGAAAAAACTGTTGATGCAAGAAGAAACTGGACATTCGAAAGTTTTCACGCCACTCATCCAACACTACAGCATTGTTGACAAAATTGTCCCACCAAAGTGATGTCCTCCCAGGTCTAATCCAGTGTTTTCGCTGCTTCGACGTCTTCGATTTACAGATAGATGAGCAACGATTAACTTGATTTTCTGACATTTACAAGATACCAACACAACGTCGTCTACGTGGTAAGCTCGGCATGTCCTACACATTTGTAAGATGATATTATGTACCAAAGCTGTAGTATTACCTAGCACCGCAATCAATAAACTAACACGTTCCATCTTCGTATAAAATTGTAAACATATTATTTAACTTAGTTGCCACGCATCCATGCAGCCGCGCCTTCGCCGTACAAAAATTCGGAAGTGAAAGGTGTTCACACCGTCACACCGCGGCGGTCAAATAATTGACTGCACCGGCTAAAAATTCGTCCTCGATTTTGGTGTTCAAAGTTTTGAACGCTTGAGCGTCCAAATTTTCGTACGTTTGGCGTGGTTCCATGTGAACGAAACGCCTAAACGCACAAATTTTCGGCCGGTCGAAAATTCGAACGTAGCCTGAGTCTCGCGGGGGGGGGTCTAATTTTCGTGACGTCACTCACGCGCAGCGTTATTAAACGAAGACAGTCTCTACAGTAACTAGAGACAAAATTAGCTAGCTTTCCGTAACGTATTTTCGTCAGTAAGGTAAAGATTGAATTGAATGCTACAAGCTAAGATAGAAAATATCAGAGACCAGATGATGATTTTGAAAGATTTAACCACTAATTTTTGTATTCAGAATGAGGTTTGAATAATTAACTTCTATTTACACAAGCAACAGTTTCTCACCGTTAACAGTTAAAACTAGAATGAGTTGACGTCGTCCGACCATTCTCGTCCGATCAATTTTCGTCGACAAGCGCGAAGGGCTGCTGTTATATCCAAACAGAGAGTACACTGCTGGTGTCGTTGCCGGACAACTTTATTCGCGGGTTTTACACTCACGACAACACCGCCCTTTATCGAACGCGTTATTACAAACTCAACTTAGGTCATTTCGCACACGCGCAGCGGCCCCTAGCAACGAGCTGGCCTGTCATTGGTAACATAGCAACGCGGCTAGAAATGAAAGTACAGGAAGCGGGAGGGACAGTTGGCGAAGGCGACCTCAGACAGCTTTTTTGAGTCGTTGAGATCGTTGCTAAACCACACGCAAAAATATTGATATAAACCCATGCAAAAGTCAATTTTGAAACTGTTGTTTGTTAATTCAAATTTGCTTTCACACGCTTTATTTGAACAGCAAATAAATGCAAGTTTCACTTAAGAAAAAGATGAAAAATTTAAATGACAATGGCTTATCCAAGTTACATATTACTAACTTACTGCAATAGCGTGATCGTAGAAAACTAATTCAAAAGAAGATCGAAGGACTCTTGGAGCCAGCTAGTCTGATTTTCAAATAATGATATTTGCGAAGTCACCATGCACATGAGAGATAAAACCACCAGTAAAATAAACACATGGCTAGTAAAGCAAGGAACGCTTTGCTTTTCCCTATAACAATTCGCCGGTTCCTCATGTCAGCCAATAACAATATGAAGCACGTATGTGAAAATCAATGTGTGTACACCACTGGACGTTGAAAATAGTTGAAGTCGTATAAACAGTTTTAGTCTCGGTCCGCATTTTTGTCAACAAAATAAACACATATCGGTTAAAAGATAAAACTTATGGACCACCTGCAGAGCTGTCAATTGTTTCTTGAATATTGCGCGTGCTAAATAAGAAAAATCAAGAAACGGGCAAGGAATATTCCACAATAGTGCAAATAATCGTGAAAGATGATCGTGGGACGCCTGGTAAGTTGTAAGGTGACATGTTATCACGTAACATACGAAAAAAACAGTCTACATTTTGTATCAAGTCTGCAGTCTGCCTTACGTGCTGACCGAATTGGTATTGCTGTTTTTGTTCGAGCGAGCCTCAAGTCCAGACCGAAATATTGGAGTTCGAACAAAAATTTTAGTGAGATTATCTTGGCCGCTATGATTGATGTGTGGATTGTATGTTAAAGAACTCCCGAGGAAAAGCACATTGATAGAGTAATGATTACTTTAAACCAATTGAAGACGAACGCAAATGCACGGTTTACCAATATGACGGCCTCTGATACTCTCTTGCGTGGTCACATCGTGTGTTGAAATGAACCCGCTGCAGGTCCCTTAGGTGTGAACATTTCGGCTTCTCGAATCAAATTGCATTTTTAGAAGTTCGGAAATGTGATTTGAGGTTATTATTTTTATTAAACCGTACAAACATTTCATTTCTTTCCACGTGAGTTTCTGAGCTTCATCGAAATTAATTTTGAC